CACGCAGAACACCACCCCAAATTCATCTCCAGCCCCATCCATTGTCATGGATAACAATTACTCCTATTTCAGCCCATAATTTTATACTTAACTCATAAATAATGTATTATCCAGAGCATGATCAATCTTTCTGGGGTAGAACTAAGTCCTTCACGCCTCTAAGACCCCAAAACCTTACACACCAGCATAACGGAGGCCACTGGGCCTCCAAGACAGGAGGTAAGTCAAGAAATTCTCTCCCTTTAGCATGCTGCATGTCCCTCAACAATTCGAGACGGCGCCTTAGCGAAGCAACAGGCTGAGGACCTTCACGATACTGAGAATTTTTGGGCATTACCGTGCCCAGTGTGCATCTCTGTTAACCTTACAGGAGAAGCTGGAGTTGACTTTCAAACACTGAACAGAAACCAGGTAGCTGTCACGTACCACGTGCAGAAAACCAGCACTCGCACGTCACAGTGTGTTCTCAAACCCATCAGGGAACCCGTAACCCCAGCAGACTCGATTCCCAGCCAGGCTGGCATCAAAACCATTCTGCTCGCTCTAAAAGGCAGTTCCTACTGATCTAGTAAGCAACGCGGGACATTCAAACTACACGAAGAACTTCACGTTAGGCTACAGAACCTACAAAACTACCCCAAGAGCTAAAGGCAATCCCAAACGGCAGCCCCGGCGCAACCTCAGCGACAGGCTTCGCTTTGACCCGAGCAGCAGAATCAATTCATCGTGGCCGAGCCCTGGGTAAGGCAGCTCGTCACGTCGCGTCAGAGCGGCACGCGATGTCCCAGCATGGATGCACAACTGCCACACGAGGGGCCAACGGGCTCTCCTATGCCATTCCACATGGGAGAACAGGACAAGGGGTAATGCGTTTAAACAGAAAGAGGGAGATTGAGATGGGACATTGGGAAGGAATTCTTCCCGGAGAGGGTGGGGAGCACTGGGACAGGTTGCCCAGAGAAGCTGTGGATGCCCCATCCCTGGAAGTGGCCAAGGCCAGGCTGGATGAGGCTTGGAGCAACCTGGTCTAGTGGAAGGTGTCCCTGCCCATGGCAGGGGGTTGGAACCGGATGATCTTTAAGGTCCCTTCCCACCCAAACCATCCCATGGTTCTGTGATTCCCAAACACTGCATCCACCACTTCTGGCAGTCACGAGCAGGCTCACCTCAGAAGCCTCTATGGCCAGGTCCATCTCCTCATCGCAGACGTTTGACCAGAACTCTATGCCCTGCAGAGCCACCTCATCGATGTCACTTTTCATCGCTTCAATAGTTATCTGTAGACACATGAAAGAAAGGAAGGGGAGAGCAGGACGTTTTAGCAAGTTATTTCTCCTGAAATACATGGCCCGGCTTTTGGCCAACCGGTACAAGATTGCCTGAACCGAGATGTCACACTCGGGTCCCTGTTCTTGCCGACGATCTCCTCATTCCGAAGTTCATCAGCACCTAGTGAGGAGCTCATGGCAAGTCACAGCCATCTGCACCGCCCCCACTTCTGGGGCCTCAAGCCTGAAACACCCGACGCTGCTGGTTTTAACACTTTGCTAGGAGAGAGGGATTCACAGCACGCAGTCACAGTCAAGGAAAACCAAACGGGAGGAGAACTTTTCCTCTTGGATTTAGCCAAAGGAGTACGGGAAGATCAGATGTGTGAGAAACCGGAGTACTCACAGCAAAGAGCGCAGGACCCATGTACGTCTCCATATACTGATAATAAAGGGACATTATCTTCACCAGATTCTGCAGGGCAGCCACTCGTACCTGTGGGAGTAGAAAAAGGATCAGGGACGTGACCTTTGAGTGCTTGGAAAACCAAGCACGGTCGTAGCCCACCACAGATAAATGAGCAGAAAGGCTGGGTGGTTACTCTACTCATACCTAAAAAGGTCTTACAAGCAGTGTAAAACCTCCTAGTAGTTTCCAGCTTCTCAGGTACAAAACACACGTCGTTTGGGTACTTACATGTGCACCCATGGTTTAAAATTCTATTTCACGTAACACTTTTCAACCGGTTTTGATGCCAGAGGCGCCACCCCGTTTCCCCAGCCGGGTGCATTTCATTGCACTCACCCTCGTATCCGGACACTGCGTTGCTTCACAGACTACTTGCATAATAAAGTGCCTTTCAGACTAAAAGAAGAAAGGAAAGAACATCAGAATTGCCTTACAAAAGTCTTTGCAAGCCTTCCTACGGCGGCTGTACTTAGAGTCTGGGCTAGTACAGTTGCTCAAACAGCACTTTGAGGGATCAAGGAACAGTACAGGTTACTTACTGCAGCATCTTAAATAATTTCTTCCCCAAACTGGGAATCCCAAGCTTTCATTTTACAAAGTGCTTAACAGGCTGTCCAAGATTGAAAGATAAAGACACGAGCTTTTCAGGGGGGAGAAGAAAAAAATCCTACTGGTTCCTGAACTGCTTCAGCAACTGCCTCAAGGAACATCAGACCTGTCAGCACACACGCTCCTAGAGCGGCAGTACCAGGATATTCTTGCATTCCAGTAGGGAAGAACAGCCTTATGCCCAGGCTGTTTACAGCCCTGAAGGCCAGCAGAAGTACAGTCTGAATGGATCACGCACCTCCCCTCTCGGGTCCTGAAAGGGTCTAGTTGATCCCCCACTGAGCAGCTGACTAGGGGGAGCCTCCACGAAGACCTCCTCAGCTGAAGGAACAGCTTAACTCCACCCTCCCCGGACGCTCCCCGGTGCGGACCTGGAGGACAGGCTGATTGTCCTGTAGTGAAAAGACTCATCCCCAGGCCCCTGCTCTGAAGGCTCTCACGGGCCTTCCTCCCCCAGCGATTTGCAGAGGCAGAAGTTAAATCTGGATCGCTGCCACACCACGTGAAAGAAAGTGCTGATCGAGCCCGCACTCTCGCAGCAGCATTACAGCAGAGTGTGATGAGGAGGCAGAGCGTCTCGCAGGCTGAACCCTAAGGTCAGTTCAAGCTTATCCAAAACCAGCCAAGGATGCATCTCTGAAGATTTCCACAGCATCTCCACATTTACAACACAACGGATTTACGGAAACGAATCCAAGTCTCAGTGGCAAGGGAATGATGCATCAAAACTCAGCGTGGTGCATGATTTCTCATCACAGACCGTGGATTCGGGCCCTGCATTTTAAGAATTGGTACACTTCCCCCCCGCCTCACCTCTTTGTCGAAGTTTGCTTTGGTGAATTCCAAGGAGTTCAGGAGTGCGTTTGTAGCTGCTAGCTTCACATTGTTGCTGGGCTCTTCCTTTCTCATTCCCTGGATGATGGCTGTCAGGATCTCATTGGATTTGTCCTGAAGTTGCTCTGGATCCTAAAAAAATGAAGGGTTTGATAAGGTTATTTGCCAGCTGAACAGCTTTCTCCAGATTCTAAAAGTACACTCAAAATTTGATCCTCTACAAGCACAAGTTTTAGGACCTTAAGGCCAAGCAGCTCTTTGTTCACTGGGAGCACCAGAACGCAAATCCAAGGAATTCATATGCCGTTATGTCTTAAAGCTTCTGGGACAGAGACAACTGAGTGCACATATTCCAGATATCCAAGCCAGAAATGCCAAATACACTTTGCCTGTTACAAATAATAGGTCGACAAGCTTCCGACTACCTGACCATTCAATTAGCAAGCTCAACACTGACTGTTTCCCAACCCCTTCACACGCTGGGCAGAGGTTGACACCAACAGTCGTGGTTGATACTTTTATTGGTAAAGTTGCCCATCTTTTTTAGATATAGGGCAAAAATACATTGCCTGGACCAGCTGCAGGGACAGGTAACTGAAGCACTCACAGCTTAAAGAATAAAGCTGTGAACACGGGCTACTTTTTCCTTGTGGTGAACGTAAGGCTGCAAGATTCCCAAGTAACTGCATTGATTGTTCCACCAGAATTTGTCTAGCAGTGGATTCCCAAACCACAGCCGTGAACGGCGTCACAAAGCGACCTGACACAAAACCCTCAGAGGTTTCTTGGTTACAAAATACCCAACCAGCAAGCCAGGGCATCCAAAAGTCCAAAGGCCAAGGATACGTGCCATCCAAGCAAACAACAAGCACACACTCAAGTCCGGCACAGAGCTGTAACAAACCCTGCTCCACCCAGAGCTGGACAGCTGAAGATTTCATCTTATTTCATCCACCCTCCATGAAGCAGCCAACCTCCCCAGTGGAACCAGTCCCCCGCAGCCTACACCAAGGTTTCAACCAGCGCCGCGCCACACGCGCGCTCTCCAAGGCATTCAGAGGCACCAAAAAAGCAGCAGCAGCCGGTTTTGGGTTTGGGTGGTAGGTCACGCAGCGCACAGGGGGCTTTTGCAAGCAATTCAGAGCAGACTTGATGCGACACGTGGCAAACGACGCTGATAAAACCATCAGCCCTTTAGTAGAAGGTGCCACGAAGAGCTCAATATGCCTGTGTGTCAAAAAAAATCCCAAATGAAGAACAGAAGAGACTCCCCAAGCAAGATGAAGGTAGTTGTCAGGTCTTCCCCAACACAGAAAGGAGTCGAACGCTCAGCTGAAGCTGTGTAACAGCACCCCTCACCACCACAACGACATACAGACTTGAACCGGCCGGAAGATGACCCGGATTTGTGCTGTGAAAGCAGGGCACTCCTCTCAGACACCATCCCTGCGTGTTTACAGCCCATCGTTCCGTCAGAGACATCCTTCCGACAAGCACGACACGGCAGCCACAGGCAAGCATTACAGCCTACTAGAGGTGTAGGAAAGACAAGGCTGGAAGAGAAAAGGTGCCAGGGAGCACCTAAAACCTACTCCAGATTAAAAAAAAAGTACTTAAAGTACACTCACGATATCCTGGCAGATATATCCAATGGCCTCCAACGTCGACTCTTTCATGTGCTCCGTACTGTGCTGATTCGTAACGTTGGCGACCAACTGGGGAATGAGCTCAGGCCACTGGTTCATGGGGATCTCGGCGCAGGCGATACCGGCCACGCACTGAGAGGCCGAGCTGGGTCTGTACGTTTCCGTACCCAACGTCTGCAAAACCTGCGGGAGAGATCAGCGGGCGATGGTTTGATGTCAGCGACCAAGGGGAGACGGGCGCTGGCTTGCCGACAGCTTCACTTGATGTTCTCCCAAACACACCCCCTCCCCAATACACCCGTTTCCTTGCTCTGCTTTCTCTGGCCACGGACAAGTAACATTTGAAATGCACTTGGCCACGCTGCCTCTTTCAGGAAGGGAGATACGGCGGTGCGATGACACACACTCCTACCACATCCTTTAAATCCCGCAGACAATGCCACGCGCCGCGACAGCGACTCGCCGAACAATCCCTCCCGGCTTGCCTCCTAAAGCAAAATTGTGAAAGCTAAACAAATTGTGGTTTCCAAAATCCTGCCCTGCCCACCCCCCCTCCACCAGACTGTTTATGCCAAGGTAATCAGAATGGGGCTGAATATTTCTCCTTTGTTTTAATTGCAATCTGAAGAATGATTTACTGAGGCGTACAGAAGTGGTCCTTAAAAAAGAAATAACGGAGGGAGGGGCACGAATTAGCTTTAGGATTTCAGTTTCATGCCCTCATTTTCCATAGGTCCACTTAAATACCGTATTTCTAACGTTACCTGACAGAAAGCAGTAATAAACTGAGTCTGTTTGCTCAAGTACAGAACAGCCTGACAGCTCCCGCGAATGGCATGCTTCCCCTTGCATCATCAACGTAAATAAAAGACTAAAGGTGCATCGTACTTGGCTACATACGGGTTCTGTTAACACAAAACCATTATATACCTGTATGGCCAACTGGAGTCGGTTATGTAACCCCGTGAATATCCGAATGCGCCAAGTTAGCCAAAAAAAATACTAAGCCACCAGTTCTGAACTTGAGCTACCAAGGAGCACCAGAGTCCTCAGGCAAATCCACCATGTGCTGTAGAATCCCAGTCTTGTTTTGGTTGGAAGGGACCTCAAAGCCCACCCAGTTCCAAACCCCCTGCCACGGGCAGGGACACCTTCCACTAGACCAGGTTACTCCAAGCCTCATCCAGCCTGGCCTTGGACACTCCCAGGGATGGGGCATCCACAGCTCCTCTGGGCAACCTGTCCCAGTGCTCCCCACCCTCTCCAGGGAGAATTCCTTCCTGATGTCCCATCTCAATCTCCCTCTTCCCATTTAAACCCGTTACCCCTTGTCCCGTCCCTCCCTGCCCATGTACACAGAGTACACAAAGATGTTATTGGGGTCTGTAGAGCAGCTGAAGCTGTTGTAGTTTAGGAAAAAGCAAACAGCGACTCAGTTGCTGAAGCCATGCCCGTTAGTTCCCGCAATCACACAAGACTATTCAGAGGCTCCTTGTAAAAGTATTTACAAGTGTCAATCTGAAAGCAGAAGCCTCATAGCTGTTCGTTTTTTACCCTAATAATTCTACAGATTAAATATGCTACAAGCAACAAAGCACCCAAGCAAGTGCAGATGACACTGCTCATCTCTGGAAAGGGAGCAGCCAGCCAAGAGAAGACCCTCAGATGGGAAAAGGACAGACAAGACGTTCATTGCCCATCTCCCCCCACCAGAAAATAAGCGGAGAACCAAGAGTGGCAAAACTTACGTAGTTTTTGACTTCCCTGCGGGCATTGGCATCGATGGCAAGCCATCTCTGTTGGTACTGAGCCTTGATGTCGGGGTCCTTGGAGGTCAGGGAGTTCTTGATCTGCAAGCCGGCCGCCACGCGGGCAACTTGGCTGTTGCCAGGGTTTGCCAGCACTCTGGACAGTTCCACCAGGAAGGTCGGCTGTGGGGAGAGAGGAGGGGCTCAGCACCCATCCCTGCCTGCACCCCACCCCACCACTAAGGGAGAAAGACCCCCAATCACCCCAAAAACCGAGACCGCCGTTCACTGAAGCTCCTTCCCTACCAGGCCAACAGCAAACCGTCACCACGGTGGCTCTATCCCCAGATTACGGGCGTTAAGCTCCTAATTAGAACCGCTGAAAAGCGACGTAAGTAGGCATCAACTTGGCTGGAATTTATTTTTTTTTTTTAGCTTGAGAGACTCACCTTCCATGCTCCTGCCTGCTCAAAGCACACCTTGGGATAAACCGCTCCGGTTGCCCGCCAAGGTGTGTGTTTTCTGGATGGCTATCAAACACGACAATGAACTCGCTGCTACTTATCTCCCCTGCTTGAAGGTAAACACCCAAACTATAATCTAAGACAGGAATGGTTAAAATGGGAAATTGGAGGCTCCTTGGGTGCATTTACAATTAGGTTTGTAAGATTGTAAAGCGCCTTCTCCGCAACCAAAGGCACGCGGACATTAAACCACCCCAAAATGCGCGTGCGTGGCTGAGACACCTGATATTCATGCCACTCGTTTTTGGTGGGAGCTAGTGAGAAACCCTTTTAAGGGTTTAAACCCTTTCCTGACCCGGCACCTTCGCGTTTCAGACACTTCCGCCGCGTAAAGGATAGGGCCAAAGTCTCAGCAGCGAAGCCTTTTCGTTTCGGTGGCCCCACGATGCGTTTCACCGGCCGAGGAAACCCTCCTAGGAAATCGTGGAACCAGCCGCACCGTCGGCAAAACGGTTTCACGCCAAGCAGGACCACGGTCCTGAAAGCGTTTTAACACCCAGTCACAACCAACCCACCATCTAAAAAATCTCTCCAACAGAACTTGAGTTACAGGCAAAGATTTTAGGGCATCAAAAACAGCCATTTTTTCAACCAACTTAACTTTCAAAAGTTGAACAGAAGCACAAATTAAGTCCAGTATCTTGGACTCTGCATTTTTCAATGACCAAGAGCAGCTCTTCAAAAAGTTTAGCTGGGCTATCCAGTATTTTGTCTGGAAACAAAAACACGGGAATACTTAAGCTGAGCGTAAGCCATCAGAGATACCCTGAAATGCTAATATGTTAAACAAAACTCCTACAAACACCACGCTAAGTGGGTAAAACAAGAGCAGAGATAGCAACGATTCAAAAAAAAAGTTCATGGTACAAAATAAAAGCGTTCCTGCCACCTTGAGAAGAAAACTACTAAAATCCAAAGATGCAGAAATGTCCTTGGATTTCTCACTCATTTTCTCACAAAAACCTTGTCTTTCCGTGGAGCTTTAAGGATAATTCCAGCTAAAAATGAGAAGCATCACACGGAGTCTTCCAGACCTGAGACTCAAAGCAAATGCAGATGTGTGCGACCTCCGCTCCCACACCTACAGCAACATCAATGCAATCAGAAAAGCCTCTAAATTAACTTCAGGGAGTAGGAGAGGGGAAGGAAGAACAATCCGCTCTGTGGGTGCATCTCCGTTAAGTAACTGGGAGATCCCTCCCAGCTCTGGGTGCTCAGCCGTGGCCCTGGGACCTCTGTGTGACCCTGTACCTCCCACCCGGACAGCCAGAGCTCTTCCCACCCACACCCCACGTACAGCGCTGGGAGCAGCCCCCATCCTCATCCTCCTGCAAACCCCGGCCGTTAACCGCCCTGGCAGCATACATAAGGCTCCTCAACCCCTGCCCTTCCCAGGGCTGCACCGTTCCACATCCCCATCCCACACCAGGGCACGCGTTTTCAGTCCCAGCGTTCGCTCTGCTTCCTCTGGCCAGGCAGCAAGTTTCAATGAAACCGTGAAAAACTGGTGTATCCCTCGTCCCTTAAAAGCCTGAAACCCAGGGTTCAGGCAACCCAAGCACGTTGCCCTGAAACACTTCCCATAACACAGCCCAGGAAGCTTTGGTCTAACCGGGGCAATCCTAAAACTTAACAACCAGCAAGTCCAAAGAATCTGGCCTCAAAACCAACATTTGGCAGAAAGGCTGCATCCGTTCTGATCCTTAGGGCGCGTGAAGCATCCCTCAGATGGAGCAACAGAAATAACGACTCCAAGACTCTCCCAGTTGACACCAGTGCAGACCAGCGCGCGCCACTCCTGACCAAGCGAAGGATGCCGGTTTGGCCGTGAGGGTAACGTGTGTGACAGCCACCAGGCCGTCCCCAGCAGCGCCCAGTGCCACCACAACCCCTTCGGGGGGAGCTGCAGCACCGCACCTTGACTAAGCAAAAAATCCTGCTCCGCCGCCCGCGCGTTCAACTGCCCCGTTCCAGCTGAAGGATGAGACCTGCTGGGTTTATTTTCCTTCCTTTTTTTGCCTTTTTGTTTTCCTTAAGAAGGTCACGGGGAGAACTCCAGGCCCGGCTGCCCCAGGGAGC